GAATTTTCTGAGATTATTAACTTCTAAGAGAATTTGTTCTATTCTTCCAGAGGATGTATTTGGGGCAATTCTTCCATTCTGTTTCGAGTTTCAGTAATGGACATTGGGGACTGCTAGTTCGAAGATGCAGTATGATAATTCATTTCTGTGTCTGTTCTTCCCTTGTTTCTCGTATCACACCATGTCCAGAAATGCGGGCAAGCTGTGACTGAGTATCCCAAGGGGAGGAAAGATTCATTCAGACCTTCTCAAGAGCTGCTCTTCAGGGAGAACTTCCAGGAAGGTCAAAGTCAAGATGCTACGCAAGGTAAGAAAAGTTCCTTTTGCGTGAGGTGAGATTTCAACATTAATTTTAGCTGATTCTTTCGTTCCACTTCATTGTATTGTCTCTTTAACAAATCTGCTTCCATAATTTTTCTCTTTCTCATAGAGAGTAGAAAGCTGTCCTTGGAGTTTTTAGAATCACCTCTTAGTGCTGGAGCTGAAGGGTTAGCTGAACTGCTAGTTCAGGTAAGAAGAAACATTGGAAAAGGTCCCTGAATCTTGGATGGATTTCATTTTGTTCTAGAGTTCAGTGTATAAAATTGCTGTTTCTAAGCAATACAAATTTGATATCAGGTCACTGAACATTCTCCCTTCTGAGGGGATCCTTTGTGAGCTGTTTTCTCCACCTGTCCTGCTTCAACATCAGATTTCATTGACCAGACTTTTGTCAGCATCAGGGCTCCTCCTCCTGTCTCCCAGGGTTATTCTCACAGACCATTCCAAAAAAATATCATTTTTTTTTTGGTTTTTGAAACCTCTCAGGTGGGTTTTGCCAGTATTTTCCTCTGCCCATCCTCGGAAGAATGTGAGTCACTGATAACTAGTGGATTTAAGACCCAGTTATAAATTGACCAAGAACACTATTTTAGCTGGTTGCACAGTAAGGCATTCCAAACACTTCCAGCTTGATCAAACCTGATTTAGTTGTGCCATCAGCCAAAAGCGGTGAGATCCTATTCTTAATTCTGCAGAGGATGCCCATTTTGTTCACATGATCTCTGTCCTAGAATTGGTGAACTAAAACTATCAAATTATTCTTGGGATTATCTGTTAATAGGGAAACTTTTTTCCTTGTTCAGGATGTTGTGTGTTTTGAGGAAGTGGCGGTGTATTTCTCCGAGGAGGAGTGGTCTCAACTGGATGCTGACCAAAAAGAGCTCTATACAGCAGTCATGCTGGAGAATTCCAGGAATCTCCTTTCTCTGGGTAAGAAAACCTTTCTGTGCTCAGGAAAAATTGACTTCTGAATAAAATCACATATTTACAGTGCATTCAGAAAGTATTCAGACCCCTTTTACTTTTATCAATTTTATTATGCTGCAGCATGATTCTACAGTTGCTGAAATGAATATTTGGTATTGTATGGGCAGAAAGCATTTTTTTTAAAAAAAATAATTTATTTTATGTAAAAAGGTAGGCTATGTAGTTTTCCAATTTTTCTTCAAATGTATTTCCTTCTTCAATAACATCATTTTGGGCAAA